CATATCATAAAGAACGACGTTTATTCGTTGAGTGCTGGAAAACCGATTTGTGAAAGGTATGCAGCTTCCCTAAGGTCAACTGTGGATTCGATTAGGCTTCAGCACGACTGCTGGATGTCTTCTTTGTTATTACAGACAGAAAGCTTTATAAGAGCCATTTTGTTTATCTAAGAAATCTTAAATTCCATCTGAGGACATCAAGGGAGTGGTTTCCTGCATTTATTGCATGGGATAGTCAACTTTAACATCAACTTTACAAATGTTATATCGTTTAGTACTACTCACATTCTCGTCAAAAGTCACTGGTTATGATGCAACTTACAAAATGTGGATGTATTGGTACCATTTTACAGGCTGAAGTTTGGATGGAGAGTCGAACTTTTTCTAGGTATGCAGAAAACAAACTAAATCAAGCAAAAGATATTTAATATCCTAGTTGGCAAAGTATCTGCATAAGCCTATCTGATATCCCTGCGGTAACGGATGTGATAACGCTGTAGAAATATTGTTATTAAGGTTAGTTCCTGGTTATTACATTGAGTGCATTTCATAACTTGATCGGATTATCAACATCTTTATAAGAGCTTTCTAATCGATTTATCAGTGAAGGTTTAACGGCTGATTATAGTTAATGGAGGCGGTTGAATGTGATATCCAGTCGATGGGGACACTGACACGACAGGTCTAAAATGGTTTCGATCAAGTTCTTCTTGTTATACTCCTATTACAACAAAGTACTGTGACAAATTTGTTTCGAGTCAACGGTAAGAAGTGACACTCGGACCTACACACTGATAACAAAATCTCGACATGCCGACCAGAGAAGCAGAGTTCTGGGAAACGACGGAAGTCTTCTGTTGTTATTAGGATAACACACTGTCTTGTCATAACAGTAGAAGCATATTAGATCTCTACTCCATCCTGATGTTGCACATAGTCTGAGGCAGAGGATCAGACGAAAAAAAATCTCAACATAGCCAAGAGACACAAAATATGTTATTTTACTGTCTTTGTTATTTCCTTATCATGTGTGTTCTCATTTTTTTGATACTGTGTTTTGGCTTCAATCTTCTGTGTATATGCATGTCCTGCCCTGTATGTTTGTTTCCTGTTTCCGATTTGCATGAACATTTTTGTAGAGGTGGTCCTTGGTACAAGTACAAATCGATTAGATTTTGGAATTGATCGGGATCTAGGTCTGGATCCATAACGTTTTTTAAAGGACTCTGCATCATTTATGCGAGTATTTCTTTTGGGTGTACTGACAAGGGAATGGCAGAGAATTATTCAGTCTTGGTGGAGGTTTGCACTCTCTGCGTGCTTTCTAGTTTGTTGTTCTGTGTGCTCAGGTCTGTCTGTCTATCTGTTTGTTTTTGTTTTGGGTCGTTGATGCTGTTGAATATGTGTCTTGTGTAAAAAATTATACTGGTGTAGCTTTTAGGCAATCTTTGCTGGCCTGCAAATGGTACAATGTATATTGTTTACTGTATCTGATAGTCCAGCCATTATCATTGCCTTTATAGTTCGTCCTTTTGCCTATTTGTTTTGTTTTGACTTTTTTTAAAGGTAATATATGTTACATGTTATAATGTATTTTGAAATTGCCATGGAATTTGATGTTGCCTAAATAAATACCTCAGTAAAATAAATAGACGTTCATGTTTGCAGAGCGAAATTGCAAACGCCTGCTATATCCGTGCTTGTAAATTTGTGACACCTTTAGAAGTTGTGACGTTAAGTACGGCACACACTCGGTCAAGGTGTTGATTGGTCAATTTGCTGCCATATTTTTGTAATACCATTTTTGGTCACCAAGAACCCCATAGAAGGCGACCATTAAATGGTCTGAATCTGGAGATCAAGGCGTAGGGTTGTTTGAATAATCTGCAGGCATATCACAGCAAGCGTAAGATGTCACAGGGTTTGGTATGACAAGAGTTAATTGCTTTCCATGAGCTATCAGTATCCCTCGCGACTCAAATATCGTTGGGTATAAGTGGGGCACCTGGACTTGAGTCCAGATATGAAAACAGATTGTAGTTTCTGTTATTGACAAGTGACCTATCTCTTAGAAATACCTCAATGGTCGTTAAATATTAAAACAGATGTGAGACATTTTGGCAACATGAGACGGAACTGGGCACAGGCCGTAGTTGAGAAAAATTGCAAAACATGCATGGTGGTGATTTCGTTAGATTTTCAATCGTCTTTGATATGTTTACTACACATCTGTTAAAAATAATATAAAAAAGCCATGGAATAAAGGTGTTTTAATGGGAAAACCTATTACCCATCTTTCAACCTTTTTGACCACCAAACAGTCGAAACTTTGAAGGCCTTTTTTTCCGGACTTTACTTTTTTGACATGTCGATAATGAATGCATACTTCAAATATCTATAACTTGTCAACGGAATGTCTGAGTACAGTGCAACAAACAAACACTGTATCTTACTCTCTTTCCTAATACCCACAAACTGTGATTTGACCTCTGCCCAGTTGTGCTGCATTTAGGCAGAATGCCTCACATATTTGCACAGTTTCATCTAACGGAGCACCGTGGTCAAATGGTTGCGATGTTTGACCCATGTTCAATTGCGCGTGTTTATGGTGTAAATCGAGGACACACACGTACAATATCATTGCCGAATCGAGGACAGAAACCGAATCGAGGACTCCTCGGTTGGAAAACGTGCATACAAAACCAATGAGAGCTGTTGCGAAAAAGTACAAACAAAGGAAAAGGGAAGAAGAACAAAAGAAAATCCTCGCTTTACACCATAAACAAGCGTGTATGTACATGGATTTGTACCCTGTCGGAGAACATGGCACTTGTGTTCTCTGGCAGGGTACTTTACAGCAATTGCCCCTCTCCATCCAGGATTATAAATGGGCACCTGTCAAGATAGAGACCTGATAGCGTCGATGTGGAGCTGCTGCAGAAAAAAATGGTTCTCATGGCCTGATGCAAAGGGATTATATTTGTGAAGCGCTTGAGACTTTGAAACAAAGCGCTATATAAGCATTACATCATTTATAAGAAAACAAATTCATGTACTAATATATTAAAAAGAAAACCTAATAATCCTTCCAAATTTAAGTAAATATTGTCATGGCGCTAAACTAGTGATGTCGACAAACCTTCACACAATAATGAAAATGAAAAAACCTACATAGTACAAAAATTTCTAAATTATATCGATATCCATTTCTCAACCTTTTAATCATCCTTTTCTGAATTTCGTTTCTTTGTTTCCAAAACTGTTAAATTTTAAAAGCATTATTACAGCATCGGCCGTTTTGTTAAAAGCATTATTACAGCAGCGGCTGGAAACCGGTTGTAGTCACGTTTTGGTCGCATCTCTTATTTTTTTTACATTATTTGTAACACGCACATCGCACGTGAATGTCTATAATTTAGAGCAACCGAAGAAATGCACGATCACACTTATTTCTTTCTTTCCCCGAGGATAGTAGGTGTTGTGCTGAAAGATAGAGGGAAAACATTGCGCACAATGTTCTAAACAAACTTCCACTCAAAGTGAAAATAACATTGCTTTTTGGTAAGAACATTGAATCTACGGAGAAACAAGTTCGTCAACTATGGTCACTGAACCGATCTATTTCCGATGTTTAATTGTGTATCAGGCACTTCAGATGAGATCGCACAGTGTCGACATAATTATATTCACCAACTGTGTTACTGTTTTTAGCTGCGGACGTCGTCTCTCTCCGTTCGTTCAACTTCGTTGGTTGGTTAGTTAGTAACAAACGTTTTAGTGACAGCATTGCATGGGTATAAATCACCTCGTCCCTCAGGCCCTGCCAATGGGTATATATCAACTCCTGCCTCAGGCCCTGGTCCTCGTTTGTGTCACTTTAATGGGTCTCCAGTGAGGGAGAGCAGAGTTGCATTATCGAGGTCACTCATTTCGCATTACACACTGGCACTGTACTCCTGCAATTGGGTGTTCCATCAACTATGGAGCTATAAAAAGCTCCATGCACCAATTGACGTTCAACAAATGGGATATCCTTTATTTCAGTTGACAGTCACGACCAAGTGAGTAATTGGGCATTATAAGAACAGACTTTTACATTTACATGTAGAATTGGTTATATCGCTGTAAAAACTGACTGCACCTCATGTACCTGTGCACTAGCACATTTGTGTCCCAAAATCATGAACACTTGATAAGGCTCTTGACAGGAAACTGAGGCAGTTGAGGTTTTATTTGCAACAACACAAAAGTGAAGCTCAAGCGCATGAGGTGTTAGGGAAGTTGCCGGTTATGTATCACATAGTGTACTCGAAGCACATGGGGTGACAGTCGGCTTAACCTTAAGTTTGTGTTTTACCCAACGTTGACACTTCACATGCATCAACTTGTTCGATTCACGTGCATGGCATATAGCAGGTCTACGAGATCATTTCGAGCTTGTTCTTTCGAGAAGCAAAGTAAACATATCGCAGAATAAAATCACATCTTTCAATACTCTTATGCTTCGATTTTTACGTCGTAAATTTCCATTAGTTTTTACGCGATACAAAAATGTGGTATAAGTTAATTTAAAAGTTCTCAAATCAATCCGAAATCTTCAATGCAATACATTGGGGTGCGAGTCTCTGGAGTCGGGCACTCAATTGGTGTGGCCATAATATCAAACAGTTCTTTTTTTCCTTCACTTTTTGAGCCGGGGGCATAAGGGACAGACCTCGATTGGGATGGGGTGAGAACATATCCCGTGCCCCCTTCCCCTGTTTTACGTTACTAAACATATAAAGCAGGGTCTTGGTCGCTAAGGTAAGAACAACTTTTATACGCAGTTCGATATAACTAATGCGTTTTCGTTGAATTGGATATGTAAGTTAAAAACAAACACACACACACACACTTGAATAGCACCAAGATGCTTTGCCGAATTGCATTTAGCACCTTACACAGATCGAAACAAATCTGTTGAATATTATCACAATGTGGATATGACAAGGAGAGCCTACCTGTCGACTGCGATGACGAAGAGTGTGTTGATGGAGACGTAGATGGACACGAACTTGACCGTGCCGACGAAGGAGCACATCCAGGAGCCGAAGACCCAGTCCTGGTGGAGGTAGTAGTGGAGAGTGAAGGGCACGCTCAGCACGGCCATCAGCAGGTCCGAGAAGGCCAGGTTAGCGATGAAGAGATTGGTCACGCTCCGCAGCCGCTTCTGCGTCAGCACGATGAAGCAGAGCAGCGAGTTGCCCACACCGCAGATGACGGTCACCGAGCTGAAGACCACGAGCAGGAAGACCTTGACGGGAGGGGGCACGGGGGGAAGCAGGTCCAGGCAGTCGGTAGTGCCGCCGCTGCCGTTGAAGAAGCCATCGAACATGAAGGAAGGGTAGAGAGTATCCGGGCCGTCCCCGTTCGTTCCATTAGCCATCCTGACGATCTGAAAACCTGCAAACACTCTTGAGTACAAATCCAAGAATACAAATCCAACAAGGCAGTTGCATCCGATATTCTTGGTAGCCCTGCGTAGACCAAGTCGATAGGAGTCTTCGCCCGTTTGGAGTTCGGAAGTCATAAAATGCGCCCACTTGTACTTCAGCCGATCAGCTTTATATCAAGTAGAGACTTTCCCATTTTTAAAACTGATGTCGGTGCTTTGCTCGCGAGGATACCATTATGAAATTTAAGATGGTGCCGAGAAGGGCTGAACCGGTTCTTTTTTGTTTTCATTTTTCGGCAAGGATAGCTGAGATGCCCTCGCCAAGAGCAATTAGAACAAGCAACTGTGAGAAACCCTTCGAGTTTTTTTCTCTTTCTCAGCTGTAATAATTCGAACTTTGCCGGTGCGGTGCAATCAGAGCACACAAAGGAAACTCAACTCCGGGATTTGGGTTTCATCCAAAGAAAACACTTGCAGCTATTAGTGAAGGGCGTGCCGGTAAATTGGGCCAGAGCCAGTTGGTAGTCGCGTGCCTGCGCGGTGAATGCTCCAACTATAGTGTGTCTAAAACCGGACTCCGTGTGGCACTGCGGGACGTATGCGGTTATGTGTGGGACATGTCGCCAGTGCACAGCCTGCAGCGCAGCGGCGCTGTGCGCCCCCGCTGTCTCCTCTGAATGGTTGGTCACTTTTGCAGACCACTTCCAGATCACCGATCTCCTTAATATCCCATTGGCTGTTCAAAGTGAAGTCAATGTCCGCCATAATACCTTCCCCAAAACAATGGACATGTACACAAATATATTACTTAATTGCAACGTTTATCTATTCGACTGACCGATTATATTTATTTCTTGTTTAGAAAATAAAGAAATTATGAATAACAAATTTAAGTAATTATTGATTATATTTTGTCTTGAAATGACACTCGATTTACATACTTTAAGAAGGTCATCTTATTTGATTATATGAAGGGAGGGACTTGCACTGGTTCCCGACCTTACCACATTCGAATGGCGAGATTGGGAACCAGCGCGAGTCTTCACTTGTTCGAACAGCGCGCAATGGCAAATTAGCTACCCATATTTTTATTTTTGTATTACAGCGGTTGGGTTGCATCCGGGTCGGACGGTCGTCAGAAGCAGAATGGTGGCGTTACCTTGGCGACCCTTTTCCCGGTCGTTACTCCCGATCACAGTGTACGCGGATGTACGGATAGGCCCGATCCATCCTGTGTGCAGAGCAGCTGATGTTTCATTTGCGAGGCGAACCTGTGACGGCATGATCGATCCATGGACGATTAAAGGTATCGCGCGCAGATTTAGCACCGGAGCGCCGTTGTCCAATGGTTTCGGGGGTTCAATGGTATGGAATATAGTAGTTGTGTTCTTGGGTAAGACACTTTAATACAACCGCTTCTCTCCACCCAGGTGTATAAATGGGCGTCTTACCAGCTACAGATAGTGCTCTCCATACCTGATGTACAGGTGAAAAACTGTAAAAGCGCCTTGAAATTTTTGTCAAAGCACCACAATTCGTCACCGTTTTCACGAAGAGCCACATAATATGTGGATTTTGAAGAAAAAGCGTTTTCGAGATAATCGCAAAAGAACTTTCTCCTATTCTAAAACTGCAAAAATTACTACTTTAGTTGAAACAACCCTGTGTGGTAAGGAAACCTTCACATGATTCTATGAGAGCTGAATTTTTACGTGAACCCGCTAATTAGAATTAATACAGTAGTTAATTAGTGAAAATTAATTAGTAAAGATATGTGTCTCTCCGTGAAAACGAAAATTTAATTTTTCAACATTTTGGCCCTTTTTGTTCAACAAGCTTTTATGTAACAAAGATATGTGGCTCTTCGTGAAAACGAAAATCTCAGTTGACCTACTTTTACGCCTTTCCCTGCAAAAGGTTTTGTACGCGTTCAAGGGGCCAAAATGTATGTGGCTCTTCGTGAAAACGCAAAATGCAATTATCGAGATTTCTGCCCCTTGCATCATTAATGTAATTTGGAAATTAATGGTGTTTTGCTGACAGAAGCATGTCAAAATGGTTAAGTACAATGTTTTAAAGCAAAATAGTGAAACAAAATCGAAATCGAAAAAAATATGGTAATTTTTTTTTTTTTTTACATATGTGGCTCTTCGTGAAAACGGTGACGAATTAATAATACATTTATTATTATTAGCAAAGTTTGTGAGTTGTCCGTTGCTAACACGGGCCCAAACCAACTCCCTAATGTCATTGAACGGCCACGCACACTGTTTGAAACCTGAAAAGCAATTAGCTTGACCCATCGGAAATGTCGGTACTTATAAGTGCAATTTTGTTCTCAACTGCAACATTCCAACTTAAGGTATTCGAGGAGTTCTGAAGAGGATAACCACCAAGTACCAAGTACCAAGTATCGTTGTGACAATGCTTCAATGAATTGGAAGAATTAAATCTGCTGCCACCAATAGTTGCAATTAAGAACATGAGTCACAGGGGGGCGCTCTTGTTGGGAGATTTGACGTTGTAATGCTGACGTTAGTCGTTGATTGGATTCAAAAATTCTGAGAGCACAGCCGGGACCTGATTTACTACAGGAAGGGCAATCTGTAAACTAGTCCGAGTATCACCTTTTGCCAACGGAGCCCTCTCTGTCTCCGGCCGGTCCAACGTCCGATATATCTAAATATGCAAATTTATGCGACCCCGCGCGCCAGCCAGTCGGAGTCGACATGAAGTCATTTCATTCCGAATCTGGACTAAGCTGTTGATTGTTCAATTTTCATGCCATGTTTTTGTAATACAGCAACGGGCACAATAGAGATCTAATAAAACCCGACATTGGCTTTCAAAACGGGTTACCTAAGACCCGATAGAAACCGCCCCCTGAATGGTCAGAATCTCGAGGTCAAGACGCTGTCTTGTTTTGCATAATTAATCTTCGAATCTGCTCGCATATCATAGATCCTTGCTATGCAAGGAGATATTCTATAGGCTATCTGTAAACATGGTGAGCTAGGAAAAAAGTTAGGGAAAAAACACGTTTGGTTGTTTTTGCTTAGCAACAAGTGCGAGTGCACAATAAGCTCTGGCCGTCTTGCATGAAAGTCTTGCATGAAATTTATCAAAATGATCATTGCCAGAGCTTAAAAATGCGACGCCTAAAAATGCGACGCCGATGGCACATATGAAACACCATACTTTAGATTTATACCTTGATTTATAGCGATTTGTGATAAAAACCACGTGACTATAACATTACTGCACATCTGGTTTACCTTAATTTACAACATTTTTCAATGATTAACATCTTTCCGAATTGTTACCAAAAAAATGTGTTAAGTATTATATTGTTTGCTTTTTTTGAAAATCCAAAAAAGTGGTTGGGATATTTTATGGGAAACTTAAGGGTTTTTTTTGTCATTTTCATTGACACAAGCTGTATTTTGACAACAAAACTTTAACCGCCCAACGATTGTTGCCAAGGAGGATCAGTAATGTGCCGGAAGAATGACCCTTCTACTCGACCCAAACACTGAAGACGAAACATCAACTTGGTACACCTAGCGATGTGTTCGCACCTTTAATTAGGATATGCTGCTTTATTGAAATAAAGATATAAAGGCCGATGACTTCAGGATGAAATATCAATGACCGCGTGGGCGAGTTAGTAGAACGAGGTCGAGAAATCTAGATCAACAGGATAAACAGATGGACTCTGGAGTAAAAAGTCCCTGTTTGGTCCAGAATCTGGGATCTCTTTGGACTAAATTATACTTTTTGGAGACTTTTTAGAGCATGGGAAACTTCTAGCGATCAAACAGGCGATGTTTTAATGTTTTGGTTCATAAATTCCACATTTTTCCCGATCGATGGATCAGAATTGTTATTGTTCTTCTGTTTACACTCTAAAGGGTCCTGGAAGAGTTGAAACCAAGTCATTTTTGTTTCAAGTCAAGTCAAGTCCCAAGTCAAATTTTAGCAAGTCGATTCAAGTCTCAAGTCGATTTTTTTTCCAAGTCAAGTCAAGTCTCGAGTCAATCGTTCAAAAGTCAAGTCAGGTCCCAAGTCATATGTTTGCAAGTCAAGTCAAGTCTTAAGTCAAACAAATAGCGACTCGACTCGAGTCCGAGTCAGCGACTCGTGTCGACAGCACTGCGTTCTGGGTCCTTTTTGATTATTGAGGACCGAAATAACACCTGTCTGTGTCATATTCCGGGTCATTTTGACACGAAAACCTTGGAATAATTGTAATTTCGACCCAGATAAGTGTAATTTCGACCCAGAAAACTATCGGGTCTAATACGACTGTGAGACCGGATCCTGAAGACATTTTTTTTTTTGGGGGGGGGCAAAATAGGTTTTTGTTCCCCGAAAATGTGGGTCCAAAGAATTTTCGCCCCAACTTTAATATGAAAAGCAATTGAGGGGGCAAATGTATTTTTTGTGTGTGTTGAGTTTTGTGGGTTGTTACGCAGTGGCTCCATTTTTTGCGACGTACGTCACTTTAAAAACAAATCCGGTGAAGGGTGAAAGCTCTCAGATGCTTGTTTAAGAACACTACATCGATTTGTCAAGTTTGTAAACAAACTTTTAGCCAATTAAGGAGAAATGCGTAGATGGCAAAGCATTTAGAATGAGTAATAAGTCTAATACGGGGAAACTGTTCAATCTCTTTACTTGGAACCGGTCAATGGCCCCGTTGCGCGCAAGGGAGAATTCGCACTGAACTTTTACTTTCTTGATTGTGGCTGTTACACACAAAGCAATATCCTCCGGAATAAAAAGCCGGATTTACCAGGGGCTGGGGATTCGCTTCGCTCAGCGCGCCACGAGTCCGGTCACTAATCCCCATGCAGGAACAGCTGCAGGGCGGTCGATACGCTGGTGTCCGCGGACCCGGTCTAAGCCGCCGCCATGCGTAGGTACCAGTTAATCATTTGATCCCCTCCCTGAAGCTGGTACCATCTATCAATTTCCTTTTCGCATGGGGA